TGTGTATTTGTACTTTCTCTGTGGTCATCTTTCAATTGTTTTTGGATAATTTTGTGTCTCTTTGGGATTGTTTTTCATCTCTTTGATAGTGTTTTGTTTCACTGTGTTCATTTCGTGTCTCAGTATGAAGGAAGGCAGCTCCTGGGCTTGTGCTGGTCGGTCCCTTCAGTAATTCATTGTTGTTCACATATTTTCTACTTTTCACCACAACAGATCCCTCACATGTCATGCACACAGGACTTTTCTTAGTTTTATTATCGTATGCACCTGAAGGCAGCACACGTTCTCTTTTTGGATCAGCAGGGGGCGCTCCAGAACCATGTTTGAATGCCTGTCATGGGCACAGAGGGAACAAGTGGCGTTTTCCTCACGTATAAAGGCTTTTAGCCAGCTGATAAAAAGACTGTGTTTGCGTCAAGCTTTACAGATTGCACCAATCCTCCATCACCATTAGATCATTTTGCTCAGAGCCTCTTGAATGGTTCATATCTTAAGTGGCAGAGAATCAAAATGTCTTGCACAATTCATCTGTGTGAAAATTAATTTGTTCACATCTTTCTTTTTTTAAATGCATAAAAGAATAACTGCAGCACAGTCATACAAGTCCAGGAATAGAATCGGCCATTGTATCCTGACAATAGACGTAACAATGCATCAGTGTGACTCCAGTGATAATGGAAACCGCTGCTCAGAAGCGACAAAGCCTGAATTGGTCCCGCAGCAGACAAACATAAGTGGCTGGAGGCACAGAGATGTTTTCCTGCGGGGTTACAACACACAGGTTCCTCTTTCTCTTCTTGACACAAAACAACACTTTATGCTGCTCTGCTCCATATAATAAATGGCCACAGTCCAAAGTGGTTAGTTACAGTGTACTGTGGAAAGGTCAATGGTCCTGTGATGTGGATTGTGATGTATTGTCCTCATTGTGCTCAGTGAGATAGGAAGTCCAGACAGGCTCTCCATTTGGCCAAACTGTGATTTGCTCAGGTTGAACAACAAGACATCCAAGTCCTACTGCTGTTTGGATAATCTGCAACCAGGTTCACTGGGCACACTGTGTGGGTGAGCGCTGGCACTGCAAATTAAAATAACAAAATGATGGAGTTAGTGACTGATGGCTGACTCACAGACAGATAGCTGCAGAGCTGACTGATGCGTCTATGTAACACCCAAATCTCTACTTGTGAGCCTTAGCAGCCAGCTTAGTCTCTGGAACACAGGAGGGGGGCTTAATGAGAGTTTTAATTCATTTTTGACCAGAGCTGTGATTGAATTAAACTCCCACAGAAGGGCTGGATCCTCTCCTCACCACAAGCCATTTCCTCCTATTAGACATGTAACAGAAGCAGCAGGCAGGGAGGCAGGTCAGTCTGACATTACTTTTTTCCCCCTTTGTTTTATGGAAACATATATTCTAACAGAGAGTGCATGTGTCTGCTGCTGGTGCACATTGTGGACGACTAACGTTCTGATTCAGCTGCATCATGATATGGTGCACATTTGTAAAGAAATAGTTCAGCATGTTGGGAAGTACATGTGTATATTTTTTCTTCTTTCTGAGGGTAAGAGAAGAAAATATGTAAAATGTACAGAGATGTCACCTGGATTAATTTAGTCAAGCTCAAGCCTTGATTGTACTCCCTAGCTGTTGTTATGAGGCCGGTGTTATACTTTCTGCATCTACAAGTACGTGAGAGTCTGTGTTACATGAATTTTGTCATCTCTCAAGACTGTGATGCCGTTGGATCAACGAGAACAAAAACCTGCCCGATCTGTCCGAGGTGTAGGGAGAATATTGTCTCATTTGTCTATTTGTCCATAAAATCTTATTTGACTATCTGCTGTCTCACATACATGCTAGTATGAAGCTGGAGTCAATATGTGTTTAGCCTAGCTTAGCATAACAGCAGAATGTTAAAGCACACGAGCTAGTCTGCTTTATCAAAAGAGAGAAAAAAAATACTCATATTTATTACTTATTGTTCTTGTATTACCCACCATCTTATTCACATGTTGTAT